AATCATGATTGAGTCCTAATACCCTTTAATTATGAAGATATTACAAGGCTCTATATGGAAATGAGTCACTTTGACCTTTTTTTTTAATTCTTATTAACACATCGGCTGTTTCCCCCTGAGGCAAGGTGACCCAAAAAAAGAAGAAACACTTAAGAACATAAGAACATAAGAACGAAGGAACATTGCAGAAGGCCCACTGGCCCATGCGAGGCAGGTCCAAGTCTCCTACCGGCTTAAGCCAATGCACCCAACCTAGTCAGGTCAGGTCACATTGACTTAAGGGAGGAACACGGCAACCGACCTGGTAGCACAAGCTATCAGGTCTAACTCACACCCACCCACATCTACTCATGTATTTATCCAACCTATTTTTAAAGCTACACAACGTTCTAGCCTCTATAACGGTACTTGGGAGTTTGTTCCACTCATCCACAACTCTATTACCAAACCAGTACTTTCCTATATCCTTCCTGAATCTGAATTTTTCCAACTTAAAACCATTGCTGCGAGTCCTGTCTAGGCTAGATATTTTCAGCACACTATTTACATCCCCTTTATTTATTCCTGTCTTCCATTTATACACCTCAATCATATCCCCCCTAATTCTACGTCTTTCTAGAGAGTGCAGTTTCAGGGCCCTTAGTCTATCCTCATAGGGAAGGTTTCTGATACATGGGATCAACTTTGTCATCCTCCTTTGTACATTTTCCAGAGAATTTATATCCATTCTGTAATACGGTGACCAAAACTGTGCAGCATAATCTAAATGAGGCCTAACCAAGGATGTATAGAGTTGAAGAACAACCTGAGGACTCCTATTATTTATGCTTCTTGATATGAAGCCAAGGATTCTATTAGCTTTATTGCGAACACTTATGCACTGTTGTCTTGGTTTCAGATTACTGCTAACCAGAACCCCTAAATCTTTTTCGCAATCCGTAATATTAAGATCTACATTATTTAGTTTATATGTGGCATGGTTATTGTCCTGTCCAACATTTAGAACTTTGCATTTGTCTATATTAAACTGCATCTGCCACTTCTCCGACCACTGCATCAGTCTATTCAAATCTTCCTGGAGTGCTCGAATGTCCTCGTCAGAATGAATTCGACGGCCTATTTTGGTGTCATCGGCAAACTTGCCGATGTCGCTCTTTATGCCCTCATCTATGTCGTTTATGTAGATTGTGAACAGCAGGGGGCCCAACACTGACCCTGTGGAACACCGCTCGTGACACTTCCCCACTCTGATTTCTCCCCATTTATGCAAACTCTCTGCTGCCTATTTGTCAACCATGCCTCTATCCAGGAAAAAATTTCTCCTCCTATTCCATGTGCTTTAATTTTCCTCAACAGTCTCTGATGTGGGACCCTGTCAAAAGCCTTACTGAAGTCCATATACACAATATCATATTCATTACCATGATCTACCTCCTCAAATACCTTAGTGAAAAAAGTTAATAAATTCGTAAGGCAGGAACGCCCCTTTGTAAAACCATGCTGAGATTCGTTGATTAATTTATGCTTTTCAAGGTGGCTACGAACTGCCTCGGCAATTATTGATTCCATAAATTTTCCCACTATGGAGGTCAGGCTTATTGGTCTATAGTTCGAAGCTAAGGACCTGTCACCTGTTTTGAAAATAGGTATCACATTTGCCATTTTCCACTTATCTGGCACCATGCCAGTTTGTAGTGATATGTTGAAAAGATTAGCCAAAGGTGTGCTAAGCTCCTCTTTACATTCCTTTAGGACCCTTGCATACAGTTCATCAGGGCCTGGGATTTGTTAGGTTTTAATTTATCTATTTGCCTAAGGACCATGTCACTTGTGACCCTAATAGTGCACAGTTTATTATCGTCCTGTTCTACATAATTTTTCATTACTGGAATATCGCTGGTATCCTCCTGTGTAAAAACTGAGAGGAAGTATGTGTTAAAAATTCTACACATTTCCTTATCACTGTCAGTGAGCTGACCCGAGGAACTTTTGAGTGGGCCTATCTTGTCCCTGATCTTACTTCTGTATACCTGAAAGAATCCTTTTGGGTTAGTCTTCGATTCTCTTGCAACTTTAACCTCATAATCTCTTTTTGCTTTTCTAATTCCCTTTTTTATTTCTCTCTTTAACTGAATATATCGATTTCTCAATTGCCCCTCTCCTCTTTTGATTTGCCTATATATGCCTCTCTTTTGACCAATCAGATATTTTAATCTATTGTTCATCCATTTAGGATCATTTTTGTTTGATCTGATTACCCTATTTGGAACATAATTTGACTGAGCAGCTAGAACTATGCCCTGGAAAGCATCATATCGGCAACCATCACCACCTACCTGACCCTTAGTCAGGTCATTCCAGTTCAGCCCACCTAAGTAATTTTTCAGTCCTATGAAATCAGCCAAGCGAAAGTCAGGGACGGAGACTTGATTGCCATTATTAGGGGAATTCCATGATATATTAAAACTGAGTGATTTGTGATCACTTTCCCCAAGCTCATCATTAACCTCAAGATTATTAATTAGTGTTTCCTACTGGCAAGAACCAAGTCAAGGAGGTTATTTCCCCTAGTTGGCTCTGTCACAAACTGTTTTAAAAAACAATCCTGGATCGTATCAAGAAAGTCACCTGACTCTAAATTTCCTGTCAAATTGCTCCAGTCAATCTGTCTATAGTTGAAATCTCCCATTAGCACAACATTTTCGTATGTAGATGCCTTACGAATTTCGTCCCATGAAGTTTACTGCACTCCCTATCAAGATTTGGGGCCCTGTAAATCACACCCAAAATTAGTTTTTCTCGGCCCTCGAGAAGCTGTAACCAAACAGATTCAGTGGCTGACGCTTCTAATTTAATATCTTGTCTAACACAACAATTTAAATTGTCTCTGACATACATCGCTACTCCACCACCTTTCCTGTTGACCCTGTCAGTGTGGAATAATTTATAGCCTTGTATGTGACATTCAGAGGGCATCTCTCTATCTTTCAGATTGAGCCAGGTCTCTGTTATAGCAATAATATCTATGTTTCCTGCACTTGCAATTAATCTTAGCTCATCTATCTTATTTCTTACACTCCTGCTATTAGTATAGTAAACCTTAAGGGAGCTAGTCCCTTGCTGCCCTCTGCTGTCCCCCTTTGTTTGCTGACCTGATCTATTGTCTTTATTTATAACTTCATGCTGAATGCCTTTTATACATTTACTGTTTCCAACCCAAGTGTTGCAACCTGCTTGTTTCCCACACACACCCATACCTCTATCTTCCATCAGTTTAAAATCATAGACATTTCACCAATGGCCTTCTCAATCGAGTCTGCAAGTGCTACCACCCCAGCCCCAGAGAGATGTACCCCATCCCTTGCATACATATCATGTTTGCCATAAAAGTTGTTCCAGTTGTCAATGAATGGGATTGCAAGTTCCTTGCAGTATCTGTCTAGCCAGCAATTTACACCAATTGCCCTAGACAACCATTCATTTCCTACTCCCCTTCTAGGCAAGATGCTACATATGATTGGGATCCCTCCCCTAGACTTAATGAAATCTATAGCTGACCTGTACTTATCTAGCAGCTCTTCTCTCCTACCCTTCCCAATATCATTTCCACCAGCGCTGAGACAGATAATGGGCTTGTTCCCATTACCTGACATGATATTATCCAGCCTGTTGACAATGTCCCCAACACCAGCTCCAGGGAAGCACACTCTATCTCTCATCTTCTTATTCCTATTACAAAAAGCACGGTCAATATATCTTACCTGAGAGTCACCAACCACAAGAATGCGCTTACCTCCATTAGCAGGGGCAGTAGTACCCTTACCTTCACTGGCCACTGAAGTACATTCATCCTGAAGAACAGAGAAGCGATTTCCTACCTTCAGATCTTCACTCTTAACTTTCCTTAATCTGATGCGCCTTCCATTACTGTGAACCACTCGCCACTTGTAGCAGGTGCTGGACTGCACCTCACTGCTGGTAGCCGTTGCTACCTCCCCAACTACAGCCTCCTCACAGCGAGAGACAGACTGCACCTCACTTGAAGCCTCATTCCCCACAACTCCAGCCACCTCACACTCTCTCCCAGACCCATTGAAGTGGTCCTTCAGCCTCCTAATCTCCTCTGGAGAAGCAAGACCTCCTCCTTCAACTCTCCAACCTCAATTTTTAAAACACTGCAGAAGCAAGCCATGCTTTGTAACCGTCCACACTAATCCCCAAAGCAGCTCAGGGTCTGTGACCTCACGTGACGACTGACCACTGACATCATTCACTCCATTACTGTCTTGCCACAGGCATACTTACACTGTAGTTAATTTACAGGTAATGTGAGGAACTACATGGGTGAATTTCACAGATACAATCCTGAATTAACATTTCACACACGCATAACTGGGGAGAACTCTGGTACATCTATAACAGATTACACTTATTTGTTATAGTTGTACCTAGTTAGGTTAGGTAAGGTTCATCAGGAAACAGGATAAATGTTTCCTGACGCGGATCTTACATGATGACAAAGCCATTGGAACTTTAGGTCATCTGACCGAGGCCTTCCGCTGGCTTACCCTTCCACTTAAAAAAATTTGGCTTTAGTTATCGGAGACAAGTGGGACTTTACCACCAGTAGGTCACATCACTGTCCCTGTGATGTCCATCTTCTCAGCTTCCCAAACTCACACATCCCGACCTTAAATTATGTGAATATATAGTTCTTAAAATTATTTACGTGAAATTTCCAGCCAGTGTCACTGGCTGTATTAAATTTGGTTGTGGACTCTATTGTTGAAAAATTACTTTGGACTGGACAACTTCGAGTAATTTATGAGTCCATGGCTTAAACTGATCATACACACCATTTTCGTATTATATAAAATTTTAAGAGTGTACATACATGCAGAACGTAAGAATTACTTGCCAAGTTATCTAGTGATATATCCTAACGACTCCCTAGCAGGCAGGTATGCTAAATATTGACCAATACTAGATACCTTACTTACCTGGTGAGTTGATGCCATATGTTAATACGAGGCGAGATTAAATTATTGTAGGTATACGCGATGATCAAAATGTCAACCAATCACCGCGTCCAGTATTATCTTCATTATCAGTCTTATTATAGCCATATTATTATATATCTTAAGCATTCCAGATACCTATTATATTCACAGGTCCCCAATTATTGTCGATACACTCTTCATCGGCTGCGATTACCCACGATTAAATTCTGCAACACCACCAACTCGTAAACATTCCGCCATTTTCGTTGCTCTCGTCAACGTCTCATCTACCAATACATCTTTTCCATTAATTTAATAACACTTCTAGGTGTGTACTATATTTTCATTATTGAAATATTATTTTTCTCTAAATTACTTTACTTATTAAATTCCATATAGAATATAAAATAATAATAGAGAATATTAGTTCTCATGTCACAGAACATCTTTTAAAAGTCACACGAGATTTTATAAACACTATTTTCTTACAAATTACAGAAAATTTATCAAAATTTGTCACATGTAATTTACACATATATTACTATGTATGATAACTGTATTGATGTGCAAAGCTCTCGCTTCACACGGTGATGTCCGGGTTCGATTCCCGGCGAGGGGTAGAAACATTGGGCGTGTTTCTTTACACTGGTTGTCTATGTTCCCCATCAGTAAAATGGGTACCTGGGTGTTAGTGGACTGGTGTGGGTCGCATCCTGGGACACTGACCTAATTTGCCCGAAACGTTCAGCATAACAAGCGGCTTTCTATGTAGTAGTGTCAGTGATGTCAGGTATGGCCTGTATACCTTGTACATACACTTGTAGAAATAAAGCTATTATTATTATTATTATTATTATTATTATTATTATTACTATGCATAAATAATCCGCACATAGGAACTTATGACGACGTTTCGGACCGACATGGACCGAAACGTTGTCATTGGCTTCTTCCTCCCATGTGCGGGTTATCTGTATTTATATTAACTTACGGATCATTTGATAATCTTAAGTGACTACAGTTTTTAAATATATGATAACTACAATCAGGCGACTACAATTATTATACCTTGTAATATCTTAATTATGTTTTCCTAACTGATAGGCCAATATATACTTCAGAACTTTCCTTGATTTGCTGGTCTAAAGTGAAAAATTGTAAACAGATCACCTCAAGGATCCCAATGGAAATTAATTATCATGGAGAGTGCTAAACCCGTAGATTATACAGTGCCTGTATTCACTTGTGGTTGCAGGAGTCGATTCATAGCTCCTGGCCCCGCCTCTTCACAGGTCGCCTGTGGGAGGAAAGGAGGATGGAAAGCAGTTAGGCTTAATTCAGGGAATTGGAGTACAAATCCAATTCCCGGGATCAAGAGCCCCTCACCAGCATCAAGGAATTGAGGTGTGCTGCTATTATTATTATTTTCAACACACTGACCGTCTCCCACGAGGCAGGGTGACTCAAAAAAGAAACACATTCACTATCTTGCATACATAATCACCGTCTTTGCAGAGGTTTGGATTATTATTATAATCAAGAGGGAAGCGCTAAACCCGGAGGATTATACAGCGCCTGGGGGGGGGATGTGGAAGGCATTAAGGCTTAATTCGGGGAACTGGAGCACAGATCCAATTCCCTAAATCAAGAGCCCCTCACTAACATCAAGGAACCTTCCTTGAGGGGACAGAGGTTTGGAGATATGACAGTTCAGATGTCACTCCAAACAGCAAATATCCCAAACTCCTACTTTAAAGTGCAGGCATTGTACTTTCTACCTCCAGGACTCAAGTCCGGCTAGCTGGTTTCCCTGAATCTCTTCACAAAATATTACCCTCCTCACATTCATGAAAAGAAGTGAACCTATAAGGGTCAAACATCATCATGGAAAATATTTTGGCAATCAGATTTGATCCAAGGAAGTGGGGAATAGTTCTATTTCTTTGAATCAAGTGCCCCTTGAAGGTATCATGGAACTTCCTATAAAGGAAATGGACTTTTCAACTCATTAAAACAAACCTTAAGCAATGCATGATTATCATAATCATGGGGGAATGCTAAACCTGTAGGATAATACAGCACACGTGGGGGGGGGGATTCAGGGAACTGGAGCACAGATCCAATTCCCTAGATCAAGAGCTCCTCACCAGCATTAAGGAACCTCCCTTGAGGGGAAACAATGCATGGATAACCTAAAATATTACAAACATACAGTATACCATGCTCTAGTTAACTTACATTATATGTAAAATATACGTTAGAGCAATATTTCAAATTAGCTTAACATTTGTCTACATAAACATGAACACCACATAACTTAGTTTTAATGGGGGGGGGGAGGTAGTGCTGAACCCATAGAGGTTATGTCTTGAGAATGGGATTATTATTATTATAATCAAAAAGAAGCGCTAAGCCACAAGGGCTATACAGCCTTGAGAATTCAATTCAATTCAATTCAAAGTTTATTCTCTATAAGGATTACAATGCTGAGTTTACAGAATTTGGTTATTATGTGGTTTACATGTAGTAAAATAATGATTACAGAGTGTACCACTAGAACACCTAGCATGGCTAGGCATTTCGGGCAGACTTAGTTTAATTCTTAATTTTAAAATATTACAAATTATGAGGTAAGTTGGTATTATGGCTAAGTGACTAAATACTAGTTTGTGAGTTTAGCAATGTGAATGCTTTTGTTTTGGCACAGTACATAGTTTCAGTATTGGAGTATCACAGGATTCATTATTTTAAGATTGAGGTTAATATTTCTGTTTATGGTCAAATGGGTGAGTGAGTGTAAGTGTGAACCACCAGGTGGTATTCGTGTAGTTAGTTGACGGGGTGTATCAGGGAGATTATTATTATAATAAAAAAAGAAGCGCTAAGCCACAAGGGCTATACAGCAATATCAGGGAGATAATTATTATTATAATCAAGGGGGAAGCGCTAAACCCGGAGGATTATACAGTGCCTGGGGGGGGGGATGTGGAAGGCATTCAGGCTTAATTCGGGGAACTGGAGCACAGATCCAATTCCCTAAATCAAGAGCCCCTCACCAACATCAAGGAACCTTCCTTGAGGGGATCAGGGAGATAAGATGTTTTCTAATGGTAGTTTTGAAGGTGATGAATGTGTCTGCAGTTCTAGAGTTCTCAGGTAGGGTGTTCCAGATTTAAAGGGCCTTTGACATACATTGAATTGGGAATGGGAGGCATTAAAGTTTGATTCAAGGAAGGAGTGGACAAATCCAGTTCTTTGGAACAATAGCCTCTCACTGGCATCTGCTTGGGCAGATTTAGGGTAGAGGGTGTTGCAGTTGCTAAGGATCTAAGAGAATGAGGTAATCTCTCATTTTATTAGATTCAAAAAAAGTTGGCAGTTCCAAGAATAATAACATGGAAATGTCAAGTCTAACATTCAATTGCCACACCTAGGGGTGCAGGCAGCCTCCGGTAACGCTTCCACCATCAGAGGTCCTGCCATACGGCTACACTGTGTCTCATTGGAAGGTCACCTGATGTGCCCCAGGATCAGTGATGCAGCCATTGGGTAATATTATTATAATAAAAAAGAAGCGCTAAGCCACAAGGGCTATACAGCCATTGGGGGATACAGCACCCCCTCAAGACATTTTTTCAATTAATGACTAATTTCCACTGCATTATTACTATTATTATAATCAAGGGGGAAGCACTAAACCCATAGGATTATACAGTGCTTGGGGGAGGGATGGAAGGTATTCAGGTTTAACTCAGGGAACTGGAGCACAGATCCAGTTCCCTAGATCAAGAGCCCCTCACCAGCATCAAGGAACCTTCCTTGAGGGGACAAAAGGCCGAAAATCCTCATTAATGAGCCAAAAGACTATCATGGTTAGAGTACATATTGGGATTAAATCCAAGGAAAGAGGTCCAGTTCCTTGGATATTATAATCAGGGAGAAGCTCTAAACCCGTAGGATTATACAGTGCTTGTGGGGGGATGTGGAAGGTATTCAGGTTTAATTCAGGGAACTGGAGCACAGATCCAATTTCTTAGATCAAGAGCCCCTCACCAAGATTAGGGAACCTTCCTTGAGGGGAGTTCCTTGGATAAAGAGCTCCTTCACTGTTTCAAGAAAACTCCCCCCCCCCCTCCCCATTGCAAGGAAGCAAGTGTATAATTACTGGTTCATGATTAATGAACTGATGTGTATCTTCGGAAGTAAAGCTGTTTGTGGTGTCATCTTTTGCATTTAGACATCTAATTTGTGACAAGTTTCCAATGGCTATAAAATACGACTTCCTGTATTTAATTCTAGTAGTACGTAGTCATCTTTTAAGAAGTATTTTCTAAATATCTTTTTGTCACTGCTCTTTCCATAATTTACTATTATAGTCTTTTGTCTTGTTGATGGTGCTAAGAAATCAGTTTTTATTTCCCATTTTTTATTTATTATATGTAATTTTCAAATCTCATCTTTCCCTCCCATTTACCAAGAATGGAAATTTTCCTGCCTCTGGTTACAAAAAAAAGTACAGGTAATATTAATTATACTTTTGATTCATGGTATAAACTTATGAGAAAAACATTATTTTTATAATCAAAACTAAGTGCTTACTCATCCAAGCAATGCTAAAATTAAATAAACAATACTTGAAAGTACAACTAGATTCACCATAAATGGAAGATTGCAATGACTTTGCAACAAAACTATAGCTAAAATAAGTTAGCTTCAATATAATGCAGTTAATTTATAAAGATCAGTCTACATACAAAGCATTTTTATGTGCACCATTTTCTCCTATATACTATGCATAAATGCTGCTTCTAAAAGGACAAAAAAATCACATTTAGAAAAAAAAAAATACTATACAACTATTTTGAGGACTGGACAACAGTGAGTGCAAAATTTCCCTTCTGCAATGTTAGGCAGTTGTATCTTTAATGTCTGCAGTGACATGAAAATTAAAATCACAGTTAAAAGTGGGGTGTAAAGGCTTTCAAAACTCGCATGCTAGCCACAGCACCATGATTAGGCAGTTATATTTGCTTTATTGAATGGTATAACTAAAAAAAATAATATATTTTCCACATGCATCCACTAACTAGTACACATGACTGGTCATATTGAAAAGGCAAGATACAGTTTATTTTATGAGGCACTTATATACACTATTCATTATATACTACACACTGAAAGCAAAGGCTGAGTAAGTCAGTGACAGATCCAGGACTGTCCAGGGAGGAACCATCCTTGCCTCTACAGAGGGTCAGGAAAGGGGAAGTGGTGCAATAGCCTGCCAAAGGCACTGTTTTTATCAATTCATTAGTAGTACAAGTAACAATTTAATAAATATTAACAATCTGTGCAAATCAAATTAAAAAAAAAAAAAAACTTTCGGAGTGGCCCATGGGGTAAGAGGCATAGCCCTCATGGTCCTCTCCTTTCCCAGGAATTAACTGTCTACAACTCATAGCTATAGCCATTTTTCTTCACAGTGAAGGCAGTTTTTATGTTACATCTTACACAAAAAATTAATAGTCTTTATAAATGCATATATGGAAGTATATGCAAGTATATGGAATAGGTAAGTAAGTTACTAAATGCTGTAAAGAGTTTTTATGAGGATAATGAGGCTCAGGTTAGGGTGTGTAGAAGAGAGGGAGACTACTTCCCGGTAAAAGCAGGTCTTAGACAGGGATGTGTAATGTCACCATGGTTGTTTAATATATTTATAGATGGGGTTGTAAGAGAAGTAAATGCTAGGGTGTTCGAGAGAGGGGTGGGATTAAATTATGGGGAATAAAATACAAAATGGGAATTGACACAGTTGCTTTTTGCTGATGATACTGTGCTTATGGGAGATTCTAAAGAAAAATTGCAGAGGTTAGTGGATGAGTTTGGGAGTGTGTGTAAATGCAGAAAGTTGAAAGTGAACATAGAAAAGAGTAAGGTGATGAGGGTATCAAATGATTTAGATAAAGAAAAATTGGATATCAAATTGGGGAGGAGTATGGAAGAAGTGAACGTTTTCAGATACTTGGGAGTTGACGTATCGGCGGATAGATTTATGAAGGATGAGGTTAATCATAGAATTGATGAGGGAAAAAAGGCGAGTGGCGAGTTGAGGTATATGTGGAGACAAAAAACGTTATCTATGGAGGCAAAGAAGGGAATGTATGAAAGTATAGTAGTACCAACACTCTTATATGGGTGTGAAGCTTGGGTTGTGAATGCAGCAGCAAGGAGGCGGTTGGAGGAAGTGGAGATGTCCTGTCTAAGGGCAATGTGTGGTGTAAATATTATGCAGAAAATTCAGAGTGTGGAAATTAGGAGAGGGTGTGGAATTAATAAAAGTATTAGTCAGAGGGCTGAAGAGGGGTTGTTGAGGTGGTTTGGTTATTTAGAGAGAATGGATCAAAGTAGAATGACATGGAGAGCATTTAAATCTGTAGGGGAAGGAAGGCGGGGTAGGGGGTCGTTCTCGAAAAGGTTGGAAGGAAGGGGTAAGGGAGGTTTTGTGGGCGAGGGGCTTGGACTTCCAGCAAGCGTGCATGAGCGTGTTAGATAGGAGTGAATGGAGATGAATGATACTTGGGACCTGACGATCTGTTGGAGTGTGAGCAGGGTAATATTTAGTGAAGGGATTCAGGGAAACCGGTTATTTTTATATAGCCGGACTCGAGTCCTGGAAATGAGAAGTACAATGCCTGCACTCTAAAGGAGGGGTTTCGGGATATTAGCAGTTTGGAGGGATATGTTGTGTCTCTTTACACATATATGCTTCTAAACTGTTGTTTCTGAGCACCTCTGCAAAAACAGTGATTATGTGTGAGTGAGGTGAAAGTGTTGAATGATGATGAAAGTATTTTCTTTTTGGGGATTTTCTTTCTTTATGGCATATATTATTAGATTAAATATACAGTATTTCACCCTATTATTAACCCTTAAACTGTCCAAGCAGATCTACGTTCACATGCGTAGTGCTCCAAAAGCACATATTTATAAAAAAAAAAAAAAAAAAAAAAAAAAAAAAAAAAAAAAAAAAAAATCAAAGTGTTTTACACGTTTTCAAATGTAAAAAAAAAAAAATAAAAAAAAAAATAAAGATTACTTTTTTACATAGATCTACGTTTGGACAGTTTAAGGGTTAATGTATAAGGAAAAAAGTGAGTTGACAATACCTTTATTACAAAGAAACATTTCTTTAATTACATTATAAGGGAGATCAAGCATGCTCCTTTAAAATGTATATTATAAATGGTAAAAAAAAAAAAAAAAAAAAAAAAAAAAGATACAATGGACAACAAAAACGTGTAACAACTAAACATTAACAAAGATGAATTACTAGGAACTTTATGAAGCTCCAAACTCTCGCATCCAATTCTCATATTTCTCCAAGTCATCCTGAGAGACAGACTTGTTGCACTTTTGAATAGCGTCATGGAAATCGGTTTGTGAAACTGGTAGGTCCAACTCTTCCTTCGGCAGAGCACGAATTTCATCAGGCGTAAGTCCTGCTATTTTTCTTCGCATTGACATCATAGAAGCATCCCTAAAATATATTTAAAAAACAAAGCTTTTAGTATTTATCAAGATGTCTTCTGTTATAATTTGAAGTTGAATATGCAAGACATGAAGGGAAGGAGAGATCTGTTGAGAGTAGGAACACTCCTACATAAATAAGTTATTGACATAGCATGTATAAGGATGGAGCAATTATAAAGATGGAGGGAGCCTAGCTCAACTAAGGAAACATTATAGACCAGGGTATTTATAAATTTTATTATTAACTGCAGAGTAGCAAAAAATGTACAAATGCTGAATCAAGTTCTATGAAGTGCAACAAACAATAGCAGTGGAGGTCTTCAAGAATCAAGTGGTAACATTTTAATCTGCCTTACAAATTCAACAGGTAATGTGTGGTAAGATGGTAAAATACTCTAGGAAACTGGGGAATTTAAATGTGTGACTGACAATATTCAACTCTTGACAGCAATGGAAAGTCATGTTAGGAAAAAAGATAACAATCCTTAGGAAGGATAAGGAAATGAAAAAAAAGTGTGGCTATGGAGTGAAGAAAGGAATGCTTGTTAACATAGTATATTTCAATCATTAACATGTAGTATTAACAGACAAACTATGGTCTTACATTGGCTAAAATGAACACTTAATCTTAATATCTAATAATGCATATATTATTAGTTAATAAGATGCAACAGGAAACATTTTTGTATGGCTCACAGAAATAAAGTATCATTATTATTACAAATATTCCACAGGGACTAAGTGAATAAGAGAATTTTTATTCAGGTTCATTAAAAAATTTAGATTTTTACAAATTTCTTATGTAGTCACTTATGTGTAAATTGACCTAGAATAACTCAATAGTTAAACCAATGACTTATTTCCATTATGATCTTTAATTTCTGTTAGTAACAGTGTTGTTCATGTGTAAATGGTGCATCATTGGAGATAATAATATACAGCATTTTGGCATTTGCAGAGTATGCAACTAATGAGAATAAAATATGAAGACATAGAAAGTCTACAATAGGACCTGGACAGACTACAGAGATGTCAAACAAATGGTTACTAGAACTGAATCCCAGCAAGTGCAAAGTAATGATTATGAGAAAAGAAGGAAGACCCTAGGTAGTAGGTTGGTAGACGGCAACCACCCAAGGATGTACTCCTGTCCTGCCAAGTGAGTGTGAAACGGAAGCCTGTAATTATTTTACGTGATGGTAGGATTGCTGGTGTCTTTTTTTCTGTCTCAAACATGCAAGATTTCAGGTATGTCTTGCTACTTCTACTTACACTTAGGTCACGCTACACATGCATGTACAAGCATTTATACACACACACCCCTCTCGGTGTTCTTCCTAGTTCTTGTTATTGTTTATTTCCTCTTGTCTCCATGAGGAAGTAGAACAGAATTCTTCCTCCAAGAGCCATGTGTCATAAGAAGCGACTAAAATGCCAGGAGCAAGGGGCTAGTAACCCCTTCTCCTGTATACATTATTAAATTTATGAATAGAAACTTTCGTTTTTCTTTTTGGACCACCCTGCTTTAGTGGGATGCAGCCAGTGTGTTGAAAGAGAAGATGAAGGAAGACTGGTGATGGGGTACAGATTGGCAGATAGAGGCTGCAAGTTAACATGGCTGTCAGAAAGTTGGCATTACATTACTATATACTTTATTTGTTTTGCTGAAGGGGAAACAGAAATGTTGTGAACATAAACACTCCTTTTACTCTATGTTATTCACGTCGTTGGCTCTCTTTCCATAGCTCACCAGCTTTCAGGAACATAACATGTATGCTAAGAATATGTAAACATACTAGCAGGGCACTAGCAAATTTCTATACATTAACATAATTTACTGGTGAACATAGAAAAGAGTAAGGTGATGAGGATATCAAATGATTTAGATAAAGAAAAATTGGATATCAAATTGGGGAGGAGTATGGAAGAAGTGAATGTTTTCAGATATTTGGGAGTTGACGTGTCAGCGGATGGATTTATGAGAGATGAGGTTAATCATAGAATTGATGAAGGAAAAAAGGTGAGTGGTGCCTTGAGGTATATGTGGAGGTAAAAAATGTTATCTATGGAGGCAAAGAAGGGAATGTATGAAAGTATAGTAGTACCAACACTCTTATATGGGTGTGAAGCTTGGGTTGTAAATGCTGCAGTGAGGAGGCGGTTAGAGGCAGTGGAGATGTCCTGTCTAAGGGCAATGTGCGGTGTAAATATTATGCAGAAAATTCGGAGTGTGGAAATTAGGAGAAGGTGTGGAGTTAATAAAAGTATTAGTCAGAGGGCTGAAGAGGGTTTGTTGAGGTGGTTTAGTCATTTAGAGAGAATGGATCAAAGTAGAATGGCATGGAGAGCATACAAATCTGTAGGGGAAGGAAGGCGGGGTAGGGATTGTCCTCGAAAAGGTTGGAGGGAGGGGGTAAAGAAGGTGTTAGATAGGAGTGAATGGAGATGAATGGTATTTGGGACCTGACGAGCTGTTGGAGTGTGAGCAGGGTAATATTTAGTGAAGGGATTCAGGGAAACCGGTTATTTTATATAACTGGACTTGAGTCCTGGAAATGGGAAGTACAATGTCTGCACTCTAAAGAAGGGGTTTGGGATATTGGCAGTTTGGAGGGATATATTGTGTACTTTTATATGTATATACTTCTAAACTGTTGTATTCTGGGCACCTCTGCAAAAACAGTGATTATGTGTGAGTGAGGAGAAAGTGTTGAATGATGATGAAAGTATTTTCTTTTTGGGGATTTTCTTTCTTTTTTCAGTCACTCTGCCTTGGTGGGAGATGGCCGACTTGTTGAAAAAAAAAAAAAAAACATTTACCCTCTTAAGTTCCTTACTATGATTCAAATACCTCACCAAGAAAAATTCCCTTACCTGCAAACATTTGTAATGTCAGCTCCTGAATACCCAGACAGCATCATAGCGATTTCACTTAAATTGACTGTCTCGTCAAGCTTCACCTCCCGCAGGTTGATGGTCAGCAGGGCTACTCTTCCTTCCTCTGCAGAGAATTTTTCTTTTAACAACCTCAAGATACATATTGTTAAAAAATCTGTAAAGGTAGTATGCAATAAACACTGTAAATGAAGGGCCCATGCTCAAAATAAATGAGTAAAACAAAATAGGGCATGGAAGTGCCATGAAAATATAACTATATACAGTACTTCTATGAGGTGAACAAAACATGTACAAACCAAAATGATAAGAGTGTAGGGTGATGGAGCAAGAACATGAGAAGCGTTGCAACAGGAATACAAAACTATGTAGATACGAAAGATCAGTGTACCTGGAGGAAGCAACCACCTGAACCACCTTGCTATAAACTTACTGCACAAGACACTACATACACAGGTTTTGTTAACATGCAGATCCTGACACCTATAATATTATTAGTCCTCAAGACTAATATACTTTTGTAAATTGGTAATTTACAAAGGAGTACAGTGCCTGCACTCTGAAGGAGGGGTGTTAATGTTGCAGTTTTATAACTGTAGTATAAACATGCCTCTGGCAAGACAATGATGGAGTGAATGATGGTGAAAGTTTTTCTTTTACAGGCCACCGTACCCTGGTGGGAAACAGCCGACATGTTAATAAATAAAAAATAAATTGGCAGTTATTGTTAACCTTCAATAGACCAGGTATTGTGTATAACAGTAGTCAGAATGTGAGTAATTTATGCCAGAAATAAGACTCAGGCTGCATGATGTCACTATAGAAGGTTCATACTGATTTAAAAACTAGAACAGGACAATAGTGCAACAACAAATTTAGAAAAGAACGGAAAGAAATTAAACAGGAAAATGCGGCAGCATGCTGATAACACACTTCTTATGAGCAAGTTAAAAAGAGGCTCTAAATTAATACTGGTACTGAAGGTTTTTGGATTTTTCATAAATACTTATTTCTGACTCTCTTATTAGCTAGTGGAAAATGGTATACTGGAGTAAAATAAGTCACTCAACAAACTATATAAATCCTACCATTGGGCAGTGGTATGTAAATCCTCTTCTCCAAGCGCCTCCTGAGAGCTTCATCTATGTCCCAAGGAAAGTTTGTGGCAGCTAAAACCATAACCACTTTTGGCTCATCAGAACTACAATGTAAAAGATGCAATTACTTTTAATGCAAAGATTTTATTAGGCCAGTAGGAATAATTACATAAAATTAATAACTTTAAAAATTGAAATATACTTAGAAATACTAACATTCAGATAATTTGTTTAAGGAATTTTCTTGATGAATATAAGAATAAAATGCTAAGAACAAGAATTTGTTTCCCTTTAACATTATCACTCTACTCTAATGTAAGCAATTACTAACTACCAGACTGAGGCTGGACAGAAGTTATCAGACAAAAAATTAACCCTCCACTACCTACTGTGCTTATTAATCTACACAGGTTTGATGCTTCATGAAATACAAGTAATCCGAATTTTATTTTAACACTCCGGCCATCTTCCAGCAACACTTTCATTTATTCAATCACTAGCTTTCCAGATGGGTACTGACATCAGAGTGCAGATAACCCTCCAAACCACACCTCTACCCCTCTTTCCAAGTACAGACACTGTACTTACCACCTTTAGGACTCAAGTCAGGCTAACCGGTTTCCTTGAATCCTTTCATAAATGTTACTTTCCTCTCACTCCAAAAGCACATCAAATCATAAAATTCACTTGCCTCCACTCACTCATATATAAAATACTTACAGAAGTCTGCTGGATGTCCTGGCTCCTAGAATGCAAAACCTCCTTTACTCCCCTCCATTCAGCCTTTCCTAGGACAACTACCTCTCCTTCCCTCTGAATGTACTATAAAAATACACTAAAAAAAATAATGAATTATCAGCAATTCATGCATTTATTATTAAATACTCCCAGTATAGCAAATTAGTATTAAAGTTTAAAAACATGATAAAAACAAGTACTGTACTGTTAGACAGGAGTAAGTGGAGATGAATGGTTTTTGAGACTTGACAAGCTATTGAGGTGTGAGCAAGGTAATATTTTGTGAAGGGATTCAGGAAAACTGATTAGCCAGACTTGAGTCCTAGTGGTGGAAAGTACAGTGCTTACACTTTAAAGGAGGGGATATTTGCAGTTTAGAGTGACATCTAAACTGCTGTATCTGCAAGCCTCTGAAAAGACAGTACGAATGATGGTGAAAGTGTTCTTTTTCAGATCACCCTGCCTTGGTGGGAGACAGCTGGTGTGTTGAAAAAAGTAACTCCTATTTCAAACAAGATATGAAGAGCTTTGCATGCAGTAGCAAATTAGTTAAAAAAAACAATTACGACACTAAAATAATCCTGTATTTCCAAGTAGAGTAATGGTTCATAATATTGTATGTGCTATAATCCCCAACTTCACCATGAAAAAACACTTAAACCTTACTCTGTTGACTGGATTCCATCCATCTGCATGAGCAGTTCAGATTTGACTCGTCTTGAGGCTTCATGTTCAGATTCTGAACCCCTTCGAGAACAAAGAGAATCGATTTCATCGACAAATATTGTGCTGGGCGCATAAAATCTGGCCTGTAAAAAAAAAAAAAAAAAAAAAAAAAAAAAAAAAAAAAAAAAAAAACCCTTGATTGCAGAATCTAGGCTAAAAATTATATAAAATTAATTTTTACCTACAGTAATGAAATTAAACAATTCACAATGTAATGACATGATACACAGTAATTTTTTTTTCCTTTTAGCCCACATCTGAGTAATGAGAAGCACAAGTCTCATCATTGCTGACATAATAAAATTAAATATGCCATGTAATACACATTAAAGAAACAAAATAATACGAAGTAATGCAACATATTGCACATAACTAAAAGGTAAAAACATCCACTAGTGGGAACACTGACTTACCATTTCAAACAAGAGTCTAACGAGCTTCTCCGATTCTCCTCTGTATTTCGAAGTGAGGGTGGAAGAGGAGACGTTAAAAAAGGTGGTGCGGCACTCGGTTGCTACGGCCTTGGCAAGCATGGTCTTGCCCGTGCCTGGTGGACCCACCATTAAAACTCCTTTCCAGGGCCGACGAATACCCTATAGTGAAAATAGAAAATAAGCGTGCATGTGAATACATTAAATTTAACCACCACTTAACTGGTTTTTTCAACTAAAGTCTATTCAAATATATGTATGTTCTTGAGAGGGTTACTTCATTATAGTCCATGATCTTCGAAAAGTGTTCCCCATCACTGGGAAATCTGGCTTTCCTATGTAGGATAGAGTTCCGACAAGCAATTTTAGTCAACAATGAAATTAGAATTTTGAATATGGTAAACTACAGTAGTAAGACCAACCTTAAAGTAGTCTGGCATCAACATTGGCAAAACCACTGCTTCTTCCAAGAGCCTTTTAGCTTCCTGTAGGTCTGCAATATCACTCCAACGAATGCTTGGATTCTTCTGTACAATATCACGTTCGAGCATTTCTACTAAATCTCTGTCATATCCACTGGGATCAAACTTCTTTTCCTCTTCATCTTCAGCACGGCTATCACCTTTTTCACCCTGTTTGATAAAAGGAAAGCTCTATTTTGGCTAATAAAATGAGTGTGAATAGTTCTCAAACAAATGGAAAAAGCATGAACCCCAACAGAAATACAAGGACCCCAACAGAAATACAAGGACCCCAACAGAAATACAAGGACCCCAACAGAAATACAAGGACCCCAACAGAAATACAAGGACCCCAACAGAAATACAAGGACCCCAACAGAAATACAAGGACCCCAACAGAAATACAAGGACCCCAACAGAAATACAAGGACCCCAACAGAAATACAAGGACCCCAACAGAAATACAAGGACCCCAACAGAAATACAAGGACCCCAAAAGAAATACAAGGACCCCAACAGAAATACAAAGACCCCAACAGAAATACAAGGACCCCAACAGAAATACAAGGACTCCAATAGAAATAAGTCACTGACTTTTTGGGGTTATATTAGGTAATTTCCACTATGTATGATAATTGTACACATGGGCTCTGGTGGCCTGGTGGTTAACGCTCTCGCTTCACACGGCGAGGGCCTGGGTTCGATTCCCAGCCAGAGTAGAAACATTGGACGTGTTTCTTTCCACCTGTTTATGTTCCCCATCAGTAAAATGGGTACCTGGGTGTTAGTCGACTGGTGTGGGTCGCATCCTGGGACACTGACCTAAGGAGGCCTGGTCACAGACCGGGCCGCGGGGGCGTTGACCCCCGGAACTCTCTCCAGGTAAACTCCAGGTATGTGTACCTGTGCCTAAATAAACTTACTAATTTAACTACACACATGAAAAGATTTAGGGTAACCAAGCCATTCTGTTTCTGTACACACTGTTTTGTTGACACAGTGAGGGTGTTGACCCCTGGAACACCCTCCAGGTATATGCAGATGGTCAGAAAATAATTACTACTTTATAATACAGTCAATTAGTTTACTTGCCTTTGGCTATAACATTACATTCGTCTAACCTACACTATAAACACAACCATTTTTAAATTTAATTAAATTCTTTCTCCCACACTAGCCATTCTTTCCCAGGAAGGATGACCCATAAAAGATAATTCAATTCACTAAACACTAGTTCCTTAACTATCTTTCCAGTTTCCCTTTGTAGGTATTACAGTGCTGGAAATTAAATCCCAAAAGCCACTAGTCTCTACTAATGTTAAATATAGATATACACACACACACACACATTCTTACATCATAATACCTTGTCCCTATCCACCTTCAAATCATAAAACGTCATGTGAATACACCAAGATAATTGCAAAATATATGTCAGTTCTCCACTGAATTACCTTGTCTTCCTTTTTGTCTGCATCTTTCTTTGCTTTGCGATCACTTGACTTGTCATCTCTTCCTCTCGCAGTCTTGGTTTCAGCACCTTTCTTGGCTCCCGGCTTTCCTGTGCGACTAGTTGCTGTGTTCTTGCTAGAGTCCTGCCTCCTCGGTCCTCGTGTCGGCTTTACCTGAGTGACTCTGCTGTATATATATATAAAAAAAAATGTACAAATGAACAGGGTAAAGTTAGATACATTAAAACTTATTATTTCATCACATTAGGGTGACTGACAGCAGTATCCATGGTCTCTTGCCTCTTAGTACATAAAAATATTATTATGAACTTTCTGCCTCTAATATGCACAACAGATTTATAAATGCTTGTTTTGTGATGGAATAATGTAGAATGCACACTGTAACTGTTTTAAATTACCTTAAATAATTAAAACTCCTTAGGATCAAGTATTATGGCCACTGTATTTAGAAAGTCTCAAAAATTCTAATTATTACAATATTGTATACTTTTGTAACCAGTTTATGGTATGGGATCTATAATTGTACACCACAGGATAAATGCTCCTGCATAACGTTTTGACTAATCTTTCTTATTCATATTCTTACTTGTGATCAGCTGGAGTAGGTGGCGGCCATACATCAGGATCACGAGCAGGTGGGGGACCCCATACGTCTGGGTCTCTGGTTGGCTCTTCAAATGATGACATTCTCAGCGAAGTGCCTGTTACATGGGTAAATTAATGTTTGCTTCCTTATTTAATGAATATTAATTTAAGATAGCATGAATACCTTAATTTTTATTTACTTCATTACACAATTTTACCCTCCTGTTTGTTCTACTTATGGTAGTTATTAGAACTCTATAGTTTTTTCCTTAACATCCACTGAGGAAAAAAAAATGTTATAATCCTTTCCCCATTACCATGGATGTTATGGAGGGCAAGTAAAATGGGTGGAATGAGTGCTGGTTATCACTTTCCCCTCGTGTAACGACCGAAAAAAGAATGAGGAGGAAATTCTGTAGTTGGACTGTCTGACGGAGCATGAGTGTACAGTATTACTGATATGGATGTCCTAGCACCGAATGAAACATAAGGACTGAGAGAGCTTAAGTAAGAAGCTAAAGGAATTAAGTTGCACAAAAGAAAGAAAAGAGAAGAAAGAGAAAAGGAAGAAAAGAAAGAGTAAAAAGAGAAAAGAGAAATGGATAGGAAGGCATACCTTGTATTCACCAAAATGCACACTGTGCATTTTGGTGAATACAAGTTATGTATTTCTAATAGTGCTTTATGTATTCTTAGTGTTTTTTTTTTAACAACTCACCCAAAGGTCTGTCACAGAGAGCTGAGGGATTGTCAGACTTGAATAAGGATATGCAGTTCATAAGTTCTTTTAGATTCTCATATTCTGCTGCAACTTGCTGTTGGACCTGAAAAAAACATGAGATACCTTATTAAATTAAGCTTGCACGTATATGTCTCTTGTGTATTTTAACAATTCACAGCTACACAGTCATAATCTTAGAAGTGGTCATCAGATAACACTACTAATAGCAATTATAATGAGATTTAAGCCAAGATTACCCAAAGTTCCACCTCAATGATACACTTCTAGCTCCTAGGGTATGCCAAAACTAAGTACATATAGTAGAATTTAAGTACAACAATTTGGTTAACAGAAGTACTGCACCTGCTGCCATTTTATTTTACGATTGGGTTCTTGGATCGTAGCAAGAAGGCGGTGAATTTGCTGTACAACTCCTTGGTAATATACCGCTGCAGTCTCATACTGACTGGTGAGGGCCATTTCCCGTGCCAGCCTCATATTTTCACATATATCCTGAACATTCACCATCATGGCAGACTGTAAGGAAAATAATAATGGTTGAGAGATAACATGTGTAGTATTATAAATATTTTCAAAATGGGATGACAAAAACAATTTAAAAATGTAAAATAATGCATATTCCAAATTTGTTAATACCACATACAGTCCAACATAGGTACCACAGCCTTGTGTCACTAGGACACAATAATCACACAGTAGCACGCTATTCTATATGAATATTAATAATTAGATAGCTATTTTGGGTTGCAGAAAAATTACAGTTGTATTCAGTGACAGACTGGTTGGCAGTGAACTCAGCTCAAACACTGAGGTCCATGGTTCAATCTCCGGTATGGGTGGGAACATTAAGACTGCTGTCCATGCTCATCTAGCAGTAAAATAGGTACCCGAGTTTTAGTAGACTGGTGTGGGTCGCATCCTGGGACAAAATTGACCTAATTTGCCCGAAATGCTCTGCATAACAAGGCGGTATCTATATAGTAGTATATCACTGATGTCAGCTATGGTCTGTATATCTTGTTCATGTACTTGTAGAAATAAAGATATTATTATTAATGTTAAAACAAATTCTTCGTCAATCTGCATCCAACCTTGACCCACTACCACTCACTTCCCACAAGTGAACACTTAACATGGTTAACTACACCTACAGTGACCAAGTCGTTACAGCTACACATGTCTATATGAACTATAACCAAAACATTTCGTAATACTATACATTATATATGTGTACAAGAGCGACGTTGTCAGATAATTGTTGAGTGACACTCTTGTTGTTCAGGGTGTTAAGGGACACTAAAACTTACACCCTTATTGAATCCTGCCTCATGGAAGATTTATTTATTTATTTTATTTATTAACAATTTGAGCATACATACAGAGGTACAAAAAAATACAGATAAGAGCAGCATGCCAAAGCCACTTATACTATGCATAGCATTACGGGCTGGCTTAAAATTAACTAAGCAATGATGAAATCAGTGATAATACATTATTGTAAACAGATAACTATAAAGCACAAATGAGTATTACAAAGACAGGTCATATGGTTGCATGCATTGTTGTACATTCAGTCGTATGGAGTATTCTGTTAGGTAGTGTATTTAAAAAATAATAAAGTTAGATTGGGTTTTAAGTTTAACATTTATGTGATATAATTGTGAGAAACATTTAAGATATACAATTTATAAGGTTCAGTTATTCAGTATTTATTTGGTTTTGGGTGAGTAAGTGAACTTTGAGAAGAGACTTGAATTTATAAACAGGTAGTGTTTCTTTTATATTTACAGGCAATGAATTCCAGATTTTAGGGCCTTTTATGTGCATTGAGTTTTTTCATAGCGTGAGATGGACACGAGGAACATCAAAGAGTGATCTGTGCCTTGTGTTATGGTCATGTGTTCTGTTGAGGTTGGCAAGGAGATGTTTGAGGGGAGGGTTAATATCAGAGTTAAGTGTTCTATGTATGTAATAGGTGCAGTAATAAGTATGGATGTTTTGTATGGTGAGTAGGTTTAGTGTATTGAATATTGGTGGAGTGTGCTGCCTGTAGTGAGAATTTGTTATCATTCTAACTGCAGCCTTTTGTTGGGTAATTAGTGGTCTGAGATGGTTAATTGTTGTTGAGCCCCATGCACAAATTCCATAGGTGAGATAGGGGTAAATAAGAGAGTGATATAGGGCCAGGAGGGCTGACTGTGGAACATAGTACCCTATCTTCGATAGTATGCCTACAGTCTTGGAAATTTTCTTAGAAATTTGTTGTATATGTGTATGAAATTTGAGTCTTATCAAGGTGGATTCCTAAGAATTTTCCCTCTGTTAGCTTTGTGATAGGTGATCCGTTTATCATTATGTTAAGAGGGACATCTGTAGCTCTGTTTACAAACTGAATGAAGTAGGTTTTGTCAATGTTTAGTGTAAATTTGTTAGTCCTCATCCAGGTAGATATTTTCTGTAATTCGGTATTTACAGTATTGGCTAGCGTGACTGGGCTCGGGTGAGAGAAGACGTATGTAGTGTCATCTGCAAATAGTGTGGGTTTGAGTAATTGCGAAGCATTTGGAAGGTCATTTATGTATAGGAGAAAGAGAAGAGGGCCAAGGACACTTCCCTGTGGGACACCAACTGTAATTGGTTGCGCAGAAGAGTTTGCCCCATTTGCGTACACATATTGGCTTCTGTTGCTGAGGTATGACTTGAGGTAGTTGAGGGAGTGCCCTCTTATACCAGTGTGACAATTTTACGTGGAGCAAGTCATGGTCAACTGTATCAAAAGCTTTACGTAAGTCAATGAAGATCCCCAGTGGGACTTCTTTTTTCTCTATTGCAGTGTATATATGTTCTAGCATGTGTATAATAGCATCATTAGTATTTTTATTAGGCCTGAATCCAAATTGGCAGGGGTTGAGTATGTTTTGGGAGATAAGGTAGGAGTAGATTCGTTTATGAATTAATTTTTCGAAGATTTTTGAGAGAGGGTGTAAGTTGGATATTGGCCTATAGTTATTCAACTCTGTTTGGTCTCCTCCTTTGTGGATCGGGGTGACCCTTGCTATTTTGAGTACTGTAGGGAAGGTGGAGGATTCTATGGATTTGTTAAAGAGTGTTGCAATGATTGGTGATAGCACTTGTGACATTTTTTTGTATAAAAAGGGGGGTAAGGTATTTAAATCTCCTGCCTTGTTTTTTAGTGCGTTGAAATAAGGGAGACTTGTAGGGGTTAGTCGGAGCTAGGAAACAGTGTTTCGGGAGTTCCAGGGGGGAGCATTTGGTGGGGTTCTGACTTGGGATTTTTTTGGGGAAAGGGTTTTGTCCTAGGGGGAGAAAAAATCATTGGTCTGTTTGCTGTTTCTGTTGGGGGAGTTGGGGTTAACGATTTGCAAATTTTATTTCGCTATTTCGTGTATCTTTTTTTTTCCCGATTTCTAAAGGGGTTTTTCCCGGTTTTTTTTTATATCACCTCGAAATTGGTAATCTGTTCTCATAATAAAAAATTTTTTTTGCCCTTCTTATCAGGGGGTTGGGATTACGAGTAACGTTTTGTTTGGTCTCTGGTTATGTGCCCATTCTGTACTTTTTTTCAATTGGTGTTTTTATTTTTGGATTTAGAATGTGGGTGTTAGCCGGGGCTGTTCAGTCTTTTAGCTGTCATTGTTTAGTTTTTTTAGGGCAGGCTTGTTTAGAGGTATTGGGTTTTTTTTTAAAAAATTATTAATACATTCGTCAATATCTGTTAGATTTCTACTCAGTATGCCAACAATGTTTGTCACGCTGTTGTAAATTTTATTAATGGCGGGCCTCATTGTGAAGTCAAAGGTGATTTTTAGTATGTTTTGGGGGGTAGTTTCCAAAGGGTTGTTTTGGGAAATAGGGTGTGGTTGGTTATCTGAAATTTAAATCCTGTTTTTAAAAGGGGGATTGGTGTTGGTCCAGATGTGGTCAAGGGGGAAAACCTATCTTGAAAACCTTGTAGGTTTTGTATGTTGGTAGCAACATGCAGTTACTCATGTGTTTGTGAATTCAGTAAGTGTGGGTCCGGGTCTTGCAGGAGATTTTTTTTGAAGTCACCTAGAGTAGTAATGATATTTGTTCATGCGTGCACATTACATATTCCTGGTTTTTTACTAAATTGGCTAATGTTTGATGGGGTACCGTAATTTTTTTAAATGTGAGAGGTTTTTGTAGGTTTTTGGATTTGAATTTACTATTAATATTCCCCTGTTCATCCCTTGTGCAAGATTATTTTAAACATTCTAGTTGGTCTGAGTAGTTTACAGTGCCCCCCCCTTTGTTGGTCGGGCCTCAGTTGTGTAGTGTGTAACCGGGGAATGGCATAGACATCTGTACTATCAGGCTTTAGCCAGGTTCATTTAGTGTAATATGGAAAATTTGGCTGTAGGAATTTTAGTAACTATTAGGTCACGAATGCTTGTTTAAAAACTGATATTGTAGTTAAAGATAGTTTTTGTTGTTTTTGGCTCTGAGAAGTCCCTTTTGATTTTCTGCGTGTAGTAATTACATAACTGTTTTTCTTTGGGTCATTAAATAAGGGGTTGGATCGGATCATGTTTTAAATCATAAGATTTAGTAATCTTGTTAGAATTAAATAAAACAGAGAAAATTTGTCAAAGCAAAAAAAATGCACCTAAATTATTTAACAAATGTAAAATAATGAGCAAAGGGAAATTTTTTTTTTTTTAAGCTAAAAAAAAAGAGACAATAAAAAAGGGGACTAATACAAATAAAGTGATATAAAAAATTTGAGATGGGAAATAGATGAGGTAGTACTATAAAATAATTTTTTAAAGTTAGAATTTTATATAAAATTATTTTATAAAAGGGACTAATATAGGTTGTGGTGAACAATAAAGTGGAAATAAATAAATGGCTTGGAAATAAGGGAAAAAATTGTGAACATTCTACTTTGCCCCTGGAATAGCCCCTTGATTATTTTTAAAAAATTGTGAATATAAAACAGGGTAGTTAAAAAAGCAAAATAAAGGAAAAAAATAAAAGGGGGACAAAAATTAAGTAATGGTAAAACAAAGTTAAAGACGAGGGTAGGAATTATAATATAAATTTTTAAAAAAAAAAATTTTTGAAATGGTTTTGCAATTGCACTAGGTTTTTATGGTTGTTGACAAGATCAAGATTATAACAATTTTAAATTTTGCAAAATAAAATTCAAAATTTAAAAGACCAAAAGAAAAATAGAAAAAAAATAACAAGGGTAATGTCTTGGGTTAAAAAATTATAGAAAGAGGGTAAAAAGGGTCACGGTACACGGGTAAAAGGATAAAAAAAAGGGGGTTGGGGTTGAATATACAAAATTAAAAATTTTGGAACAAAATGTTATGGGAATATAAGATAAATGTTTAATGTACAAAAGAAAAATTGCTGGATAAATAGGGTTTTTTAAATAAAATTTTAGTAAGTAAAAAAGATTACAAAAAAGTGAAAAAAGTAATTTTTATTTCATTCAATATTGCATGGTATTTTATTTAGGGTTTATGGCATAAAAAGGAAATTAAAGAGTAATTAAGATAGAAATGGGGTTTTTAAAAACAGGAAAGGAAATTTTAGACAAGTAATGGTTATTAAATGCAAAAATGTAAGAGAAAAATTAAAATTTTTAGAAAAAAGAAATTATTAAATTTTTGTAAGTAAAAATCAATTGATGTTTTAAAAAAATATGAGGTGTAAATGGACAGAGAAAGTATCAATTCAGCTAAGTTTAAAATGAACAATATAAATAACAAAACACATCAGGTGCTTATGCTTTAGAAAATCACAAAAAGGGTATTGATTTTTAATTACAAGAGATTGCAAATGAAATTTGAAAAAAATGGAGCAAAAACATACCACACTAGTGGCTTTAAATTGGACATTTTTTAGTTATTCTCGTAAGATTATATCCTGAAAATCGTATAGATCATTTTCCGTTCGTGATTGTGTACAGTTACCTCATTTGTTTTCCCAAAAAAAATTTTCCCATTCCCCGGGGAAAGCTTGGTTATGTGTCGTTTTTTTCCCCCTTAAGTTTTTCCCGACCCATACGGAGGGCTGACGTTTTTGGTAAGACCTCGTTTATGTAACCTCCCTTTCTTTTCTTTTTAAAAGATGCAAAAATTTAATTTTTTTTCCGCATGTGAGGGAATCAACATAACACTTTTTTTTACCTGGGGTCCGTACCTGGCTTTTTTTATTTCGACCTGGTACAATAACACTTTTTTGGGCCTTTTTGATCTGCAGTAATTTCTTTTAAGTTTGTTTGGTTATATC